CCCCCCCCCCCCCCTCTCACCAGCTCACTCTTTTATGTTTCATCTTTTTAAGTATATTTAAACTTTATTTTGAGACAAATATTCACTCTGAAATGATGAAAAATACTAAAATCAATGAATTCTCCCAGTTCAGATATTTCTGATGTTGCACATTATTTTTGTCTGAGCGGTCAGAGCAGTCGTCCTCCAATGCAAGAGTGGGGGGTTCAATTCCTCCAGCAGTCACATGCTGAAGTGTCCCTGGGCAGGACAATGACCCCCTCGCTGCTCCGCTGTGTCCCATCGATGAATGAATGTGATGAAGCTCTGATTCATCTTTGTAGAGAAGTAGTAGAGCGCTGTATGGATGGACAAACTCACTGTAGAGTAAATCACTTGGAGCATCTTGACAGAAAGGTGCTGTATAATACAGTCCTTTTATAATTTACCAATATTTTACATTTCATATCACAAGAATATTGTGGGTAAACCACGATGAACGGGTCGGTCTGTTTTTACATTTCTATATTGTTTGTGGATAAAGTTTTCTGGTATTGAACACACACACACACACACACACACACGCACACACACACACACACACACACACACACACACACACACACACACACACACACACACACACACACACACACGTTCATAGATCATTTTGTCCTTATCAAACTGCTTTATTTTATTTTATTCTGCAGATTTAGTTCTTGTAACACGAATATTTTTATTCAAACTAGTTGTTTTTGAAACTTAAAAAAAATCGGTTCTTTTAAACCTTACTACAGTTTTATTTTTATTTAAATGAATTGGAGTCTATGCAGCACACGTGTGTATTTGGTTAAAAATGGTAAATTTACTCAGGTAATAATTTTCTACCTTTGACATTAATGTTGCTGTAAAGCTGAGCTTATTTTTTCATTTTATTCAAACCGGGCTCACATGCAGGTTCATGAACCTCACTTTTAAATGAGTGCGTAGAAAAAGGCTCGACTGCTTTAAATAAAATTATTCTAAATATTTCAATGTTTTTAACCATAAAGTCAAAGGAGCACGATCATTTAGTGAAGATTAAAATGAGCTAATGTTTGGATTGAAATCATTCTTGCATGCTGCCTTTAATATTTGAAGTACACAGACCCATAGTTGTGTTTAACCGTTTTATTTGGAATGCCTAATTTTAATCCTAATTTTAATCCTAACGCAGGATTTCATTTAATGGACACATTTCAGTGAGACCTGTTGTTCCAGCCATCCACAACAGATAATCTACATTTTAGCCTTATTTTTTTAACAGACTGCTGATAATACAAATCATGCCTCAGTCTTCAGAAACGTAACAGATAATCCAACATTTTTCAGTCAGGTCATCTGGACAATTTCTTTTTTTGTGCTGACTGAAAAATGTTGGATTGTATACCTGGATTATTGAGCATGGACTTTTTTGGTTTTAACAGATAATGTTTTTAATGTAAATGACTTGTTTCCAGAGCAGGACGGGGATTTATTGATGGACCCTCTGATGGTCGACTGGTTTAACCTCATCAGAAAAAAGCAGATGTACGTGAGGAAGGAGTCGGAGCTTGTTTACATGTGAGTACATACATGTTTAAGGACACATGATGAGTTTGAAAAAAAAATTCTTATCCCACATCTCTCATTTTTATTTTTTATGAATGCAGAGCCCGGACTCAGGAGCTGGAGCGCCAGCAGCCGGGGGTGGAGGGAGAACTGCGCAGGCTGCTGGAGAAACCAGGTAAAACCAGTTTAAACCGCATCATTGAACTGGGTTTATAATCTGCTGGAAGGCCCCGACTTGAGAGGAAACTGCTTCTGTCCACTGCTACAAAGTTACCGGGAGTGAACGCTGCAGAGATGTCAGAATGACTCCCACTCCTGCTCCCAGTCAGAATGACTCCCACTC